CAGTGTACATTACAACACTCCCACATGTTCCTTGTTTGTTCAATCTCCTGGTTATTTTTGAGCATCGAAAGGTTTGGCTTAATCCAAATCATTGTGAATGTAATAACATTTGTAAAAACATTTATTTTGAAATTTGAAACCTTAACTAAATATATTTAAAAACCCAAACAAAGAAAGGAAACAGCTGCAGAGCCACAGCTCAATCCAACACTGTCGCAGTACACTTACAATACATTTCACTTCTAATCCTGAGGGAGACAGAAGCTCCTTTCTACATGTGTTTGTTCTCAGACCAGTTTGTTCTGATCGGGGTTGTGTGTCAAAGGCAGCCAATCTGGTTCTGGATCACACCACAGATCACACACGAGGTCGGCCCACCGGACCGGCTCAGCTCAGACCAGGCAAGGAAGTGGACTTGTTTCAGATAAACCTAGGCAGCAAACGTGCGCTGCCATCACCGAATGTACGTATTTTGTATCCACGTGTTTCTGCCAGTTTGACAAAAAGTGAAAAATCAGTCTGTAACCTCGTCTCGTTTTCCGTGACAAGAAACTGTGGAAACATTTCAAATCAAAGTGTAAAACACCAGTTTCTTATCATTCCAGTTTCCACCTAGAGATCCCATCAACGTGATGACACTAGCAGACCTTCTACTCACTGGTTTTTCAGGTCTCACGCTGCCGTTCCCTTTCAGAGGGTTGGCTCAGAAAAGGCCCCAAGAGGCAGAGTGACAACTGAGAGACGCCGCTCCTTCCTGATCACCTGCAGCTCAGAGCTGCATCGGGTCTCGGACCCCAGCAAATCTCACATCTAGCTCGCTCTCTGGTCACTTGGGGAAAGTGAACTGTGGCTTTTTTGCCATGAAGGCTACTGATCACCAGCCTCGGCACACTACCTACTCTGTTCCCTGCCTGGCTGAGGACAGGTGCATTATGGGTAGGGAAGCTTGTCTGCATCTGAGCTGGTTGCAGATGGACCCGCAGGCCAAAGCCCAAAATCGCCCACCTGATTGGCCCAGGTCACCTGAAAGCTCAGCCCCACCTCTCCTCCCTCCGAACCGTCCTCATCCTCCTCTTCATCTTCCTCATCATCGCAGTCCCCAGTCTGCCCTGCCACGTCCTCGCCATCCTCGTCTGTCAACACAGAGACGATATTTAGATTTATCCTAATTACATGAATCCAGTTCTTATTCTACTCTATTTTTATTCCATTTTAGTTCCTAAATGTTATGGCACCCAATACTAAGTGAGAGAGAAACGGTATTTCGATTTTCTGTATGCCCTGCACATATGGTGAATTGACAATAAAATCCTTGAACATTCAGAGACGAGGTACAGCTCAGTTTTCACTGCTTTCTCCACCAAAATCTGAAGAAATTCCAGTGTTAAAGTCTGTGCCTCAAGCTGCTCCTCTTACTCGTTACAAACAGGAAGTTAGAAAATCTGCAAATCCTTTATTCCCCTTTAAACCATCAGGGGCGTGAAAGCAGAGACTAATATGATTACTATGTCCTAGATCTGTTCCCAGCTGCTGGGCTGAATGTTTCAAGCACCGTTTTGTGTATTAGATGGCCATGTTTGTTGGACCTGATGTTCGCCAGGTGCTGTGAGGTAAGGTACTGAGCTGCTTCACGTGATTTATTCCATTTGTGTTTACTGCTGACTTTGAGTTGTGACATTTTGATATGCATTTCCCTTTTTATCTAGAGAAAACATCCACCTGTCCGGCCACCCAAGTCTTCATCCACTCCTCTCTCCATGTGTGAAGATTACAAGTTAAGTGGCTGAAACAATGAAACAATGGCCCTGTGTTTGAACATGCGCTCCACATCGGTGTCGTTCTTTCAAAGAACGACACCGATGTCGTAGCTCATTTGCCCAATGTCCCACCTTCGTCCTCGGGGTCGGAGTCGGGGGCCTCATTGTCCTCTTGGTCGAAGCCGTCTAGGAAGGTGACCTGAGGCAGCAGCTCGAACACGCTCTCCCTGTAGTCCTCCAGAGATGTGATTTCGCAGTTGAACAGGTCCAGACTCATCAGGTTCTTCAGGTTTTGCTGCAGCAAGAAACATCCTGTTAGCGGCTACAGACAGATCCACCATACTGAGTGTGTGTGTATACATGCGTGTGTGCGTGTTCTGACCAGCGCCTCAACGGTGCTCAGCTCCTTGATCTTGTTCCCACTCAGGTTGAGGTAGGTCAGGTTGGGACATTTCTCAGACAGTGTCTCCAGAGAACCAGACAGGTTGTTGTCGCTCAGCTCCAACTGAGAAAACACAGTAGAACATTTAATGGAGAGTCAGCAAACAAGATGTGAACTGCTGTGGGTTTTTATTCTCATCCTTATTCCACTTGTCCACTTCCTCCCAGCTGTTTATCACAGGTTTCTGCACCGGGGTCACTGGTAGAACATGAATGTTTGAGTTAACTAGTGTTTAAAAAAAAAAAAAAAAAAAAAAAAAAAAAAAAAAAAAAAACAAAATTATTAGGAGTTTAAAGTAAAAAAAAAAAAAAAAAAAAAAAAAAAAATCAAATCAATTCATTAGGGTTGTGAGAGTTATCAAACCTCCTGTAGAACAGTTCACTGTCACAACAATCCCCCTTCCAATTTAGACCGGAAGAACATGCCGCAACCGCCGTAATCGCACATACCAATCAGTATTGTTAATATGTCCCATAAGACCACAGGCCAGCAACCCAGTCTGACACTGCGTAGTGAGTCCCGGGGGTTCAATATGAGTCGTTAACACCTGGACCGAGGCTGGTCACAGAGTGAGCTTCTGAGGGAATAAACTACACTAACCAGAAGCATTAGAACTAGTATTCATGGTATCAGCAGCGACTATTGTTCACTACAGGTAATAAACCTGTGAGGCTGTTTTATGAGGAAATGCCCGTTGCTGTTTCTGAGACCTGCTGATACTCTGAACGCTGGCCACATCAACCTGCCCAGTGTCTGACCATTTGTTGTGTCTTGTTGCTTTTCTTGTTTTCCACCTCATGCAGTCCAACCTGAACCAGTTGCAACCAGTAGCCCCTGGGTACAACAGCTAGTGCACATGTACATGAGAAAACACACAGATACTGGATGACTCAAAACAAGCTGGTTCATTTCATCCAGCTCCACCAAAGAACCCACAGACAAAGTGAATCCCCTCCAGCATTCGATTGTGTTACCTTGCGTAGTTTGGGCAGTGAGGGCAGCTTGGCCAGCGAGCTCAGACCCACATTGATCATACTGAGGAACTCGAGCCCTGTGAACCCGTCCGTCAGACCGTCGATCTCTCCATTGGCAGAGCGACTGTTATCGACCACCAGCTCCGTGATCTGAAGCACAGGAAGAGAACAACACTGATCAAACCAGAGACGCTGTTCAAGGCGGTGCAGCTGAGGGTCTGAAGACAAACGCTGTTAGTGTCCTTACTTTAATTACACATCTATTAACTTCTGGATGTGCATATATAACACAGGCGAGCTGTGTGACTTTGACCTTGAACGACATCAACCCGTTGCTCCTCATGTTCACCAGAAGCCAACGATAACGAAAGCTGTGTGCTGAAGTCACGATGATCCAGTTAGTCAGTAGAAAACTCACCTGCAACTGTTCTGAGTTTTCAGACACAAAGGCTCAAACCCCTCTGGTCTTTGATTCTCAGTGTGAAGCACTGTTTGGTTTTGGTTGTATGTAATAATAAATATCTTTAGGTTTTATACTGTTGGTCCAACAAGACAAGACATCTGGAGACCTGCACATTAGAGACCAAATGTTTGGCATCTGTACTTGAAAACAACTAAAACACTTACTCTGATTAATTTCCTAGTGATCCACTAATCAATTAGTCAACTGATCACTTTAGATTTCATTAAAAGTAACTGTAGATATGAGCAGTTACGCAGTTACTGTATTTGGTGTGAGATCCCAGTTTGTGGAGGACTGTGTTCAGACTGGTGGCGCTGCTTCCACTCTGGTTCCTGTGCTCAAACAACAGGAGCGGAGCTGAGCCTGCAGGCCAACAGGCTGCACCAGCAGCTCTGCCACTGTGTCAGGGGCTGTTATAGTCTACACGCACCGTGCGTTTGGCGGGGAGGGTCCTCTCAGCCCCCTACACACACCATCTGCCGGCATCCAGCCGTTCACACACTAGGACACCGGCAAACTGAGCAGGACGAGTTTCAGGTTGTTGGTCTTTGGTTCGTGTTACCATTGCTAACTCTGAGAGACGAGGCAGTCCAAGTAACTTCAAAACAGTGCTGATTTATTCCATGAATACAGGTAAAAATTAACATTACACGCTCTGATATCTTGCACCTCCAACATGCACGCAGGCAGATGTAAGATGAAAGACCCTGAACCCACCAGGCCTATACATTATATCCCCTCGGTTGGGCTAGCCCCATACTACACAGAAACGTCAACCGAGACGTCTCTGTT